GCTCATCTTAAGGCACTTTTTCCAACAATGTTCTTCTTCTTTGCATGAGATTTTCAGGATATGAAAATCTTTCACTTCCATACACAAGATTTTCAATGGCTGATTCCTTAAAAGTCAACATGGTGAAACTGCTGGCATTTGAAATATCAGTGACATAGCTTCCAGCATCACAGCAACACACAAGTCACCAAGGTATGGCAGAGTGAGACTAGTGACCCAAGATTGCCAGGAGTGTCATAGAAAACTCACACTTCTCAAGGGCACAGTTTTTACTTTGCCTGTCAGTAGTTAGAATACAATGGAGGCTGAAGCTATGTGGAGACTCACAGTAGATTAGGGCTCCGACTGTAAACTAGTCTTCTGTAAACCTAGGGCTTAGAATTTAAGCTATAGTACAGACTTCTCTATTTCATGGAGGCTTGCATAGTTTTGCTTTTCTGGGAGTGCTTTCTTCAGCATTTTGACCCTTTCTCTGAAAGCAGAATATTCCGCTCATCAGAGTCCACTTGTGACCAAGGAATGGCCATGGAAAGGAATCTGGAGCATTTTTCTTAGGACTCAGGCCCCATTATTCCTTTGTGTACACAGTTGCATTATCTACTGAATTAAGTGGGTAAATATATGGAGAAAATAAAAAATACTCAGTTCTCTGCCCACCTTTATTATTGCTTATCATTCTGTTGAATCTATTTTAGTCCTCCTACAGAAGAGCCGTTGGCTGTCTTCAGATAGTATTCATATCTTTTAATTATGGTTATCATCAATTATAGGAATGTTGGATATGCTAACTTTAATATAAAAATTGCATAATTTTATTCCTCTGCTTATTTTTCATGACAAAGAATGTGTGAGTTTTAGAAACCTGTGGCGGACTTGTCTGTGAATTTCTGCTTTTATTTGCAGCTCAGAAGAGTAGTACCGAGCCATTGGAAGCAGAAGGTGCACACCAGCACAAGGTACATCTATCTGTGTGTAGTAATAAGTATTTTGATAGGGATGCCAGTGCTGGTTAGTTTATGGACACCAGAGGGAAAAGAAATATTAGTGAAGCATTCATTGGGAACAGTGACTTCACTTTTGCTTTTAAAACACTTTGGAATAATTACATGGAAATAAAAAAGTTCTGGGCTACTAGTTTGGGAAGCAATTAAGTAAATGTAGCATATCTGGGCAAACTAATATTTTGGGATCATTTCCTTTCCCCCCGTCTTCACAGAGATACAAGTTTTATCAACCATGTCAAATTTCCTTTGGCCTAAACCCAGTACCAGAGCCAAAAGTGTCACTCCATCCGTTCAAACTGTACATTGTGGGCAGATGATCTTCATTTTGGTGCTTGGGTTCGGGGGAGGATGGGGTGGGTGGTGAGCGGAAGCGTTATCCCAGGTTTGATCTTACCGTCCTACAGATACCGTTCTTCACAGACCATCTGGGGAGCATGGCCATCATCTTTTGAAAAAAAACCCTTTTTTGGAAATAGAACTAGGAGGCAAAGGCCATTTATAGAGGTTCAAATACAGGCATGCACATATGTAAATATATTTATATAGTATAATGATAGGGAAATAGATCTATGTACATATATGTATAGGTTTAATATTAAGGTGGCAGATGGACATTGGGCCTCTACTCAAGTCCTCCCTCACCACAAGAACATGTTGTTCTCAAAAGTATTCCATGATGCTCACCTTCCTGACATGATTGCTGAAGACAAAGTGGGTGCATAAGCAAATGTGGTGAAGAAAGCTGATGGTGCCCAGCTACCAAAAGATATAGTCTCTTGGGTCTTAAAGGCTTGAAGATAAACAAGTGACCATCTAGCTGAGAAGCAACAAAGCCCCCAGGGCAGAAGCACACCAGCCTGTGTGCTCATGAGGTGTTGATGGGATCAGGTATCAGGCATCAAAGAACAAAAAGTTATATCGTTGTGAATGAGGGGGAGTGCGGAGTGGAGACTCAAAGCCCATCTTTAGACAATTGGACATCTCCTTACAGAAGGGTCACAAGGAAGATATGAGCCAGTGAAGGTGCAGTATAGCACCGATGAAAAATACAACTTTCCTCTAGTTCTTTAATGCTTCCTCCCCACCACTATCATGACCGTAATTCTACCTTACACATCTGGCTAGACCATAGCTTATACATGGGTACAGATAAGAGCAGGAAACACAGGGAATCCAGGACAGGTAAAACCTAGGACCAATATTGAGAGTAGTGATACCAGGAGGGGAAGAGGAAGGTGTGGGGAGAAAGGGGAAATTGATCACAATGATCTACATATTACCCCCTCCCAGGGGGATGGACAACAGAAAAGTGGGTGGAGAGAGACATTGGTCAGTGTAAGACATGAAAAAAATTTTAATAAATTATCAGGAGGGAAGGGAGGGGAGGGAGCGAAAAAATGAGCTAATACCAAGGGCTCAGTAGAAAGAAAATGTTTTGAAAATGATGATGGCAACGAATGTACAAATGTGCTTGACAAATGGATGTATGTAAAGATTGTGGTAAGAGTTGTACGAGCCCCCAATAAAATGATTTTTTAAATCCTTTTTTTCCTCTACTTCTAAGGTAATGGAAAAGGAAACTCGTTTGTGCTAGCTCCAGATAGTGACTGTGCGTGTGTGCTAGGGTGGGGGGTGGGGAAGGGGTTTGTTTCCAAAGCATTCAGTTTGTTTGTTTCTAATAAGTAAACTTTGATCTAATTAGTTTAAACCCCTATAAAAATGAAGTAGGTTATATAGAGGGTTGGCAGGGAGGATGGGGCGCTAACAACAAAGAGTATGAGAAGAAAATGTTCTGAAATTGATTGTGGGGATGATTACATAACTCTTCTTAATATGACTAAATGGTTAAAATTGTGTGATACGTGAATTATATGTGAATAAAACTAAAATTAAGTAGGCAAAACTTTGTATTACGTTTAAAAAGACCAATAATGCTAAAGATGAATTAAACCATACAGTACATAGTAAGTACTAGTACACATAACAAGTCTGGTTCTATTACCCTTTCTGCTTTCCTTGTTGTCTCCTCTTCTGATGGGTCAGTTGTATCTAATAGAACAGTTATATCCCAGCAGGACCCCTGGTCAGATCAGATCATACCATTGAGTGGAATAATAGATTTATTCGATTCAGAATGAACTGAATGTAGAATTACATGTAAAAATTAAAGCTAACAATATATTTTGTTTCTATAGAAACCAAAATTTAGTTCTAAAAATTGCTTTTGCTGTGCTGCTGATGAAAATTCCAACAAACAGAAGCCTGAACATCTAAAAGTCAATAAAGGAAGCAAAGAAGGTTTATGTATAAATAAAGAAGAGATACATGAATATTACCACAAAGATTCAAAAACTACAAAATTTCG